AGGAAAGGAAAGGAAAGGAAGAAAAAGAAAGAAAAGAAAGCCAGCAAGCCCAGCCATCAGATAAGAAGCTTCTTGGGCAGCCCCTGGTGGGTGTCCTTGGGGTCCCCCAAGATTTTGGGGAGGGGAACAGGTGGGGTGCTGGGACAGACTTCACCCTGACCCAAGTTCTTCTGGTTCCCAGTTGATTATATTTAATAGTTCAAATGTGTTTCTTATGCTGTCAGTAAACTCTGTTGAGAGGTTGCTCAGCTCATTGCTGGGTATAATGACTGATTTTTGTTTCTTCCTCAGCTTTACTCTTTCTCGTGATATAAGTATATATACCATTTTATACAAGGGTATATATACTGTTTTACTATGCCATTGTATTTCCTGAGCATCCACGGATTTTGGTATCTGCCACGGGATCCTGGATCCAAACCCCAGGGGATGCCAAGGGCCCACTGTAAATAGGTTCTAGAACAGATCAAGCCTGAATCGAGATGATCACATACAAATTCATTTCATCTGGCTTAGTCAGAGCTATATTACATAGAGTACCAGCAAGGTATAGTGGTTAGAGTGTTGGACTATGACTCCAGAGACCAGGGTTCAATTCCCAGCTCAGCCATGAAACTCACTGGGTGACCTTGTGCAAGTCACTCTCTCTCAGCCTCAGCGGAAAGCAATGGCCAACCTCTGAAGAAATCTTACCACGAAAACTCCATGATAGGTTCACCTCAGGGTCATCATAAGTCGGAAATGACTTGAAGACACACAACAACAACAACAAATATTAAATATGTTGTATTTTATTACGTTTGTTGTTCTTGTGTGTCTTTAAGTAGTTTCCAACTTATGGTGACCCGAAGGCAAACTTAGCACAAGATTTTCTTAGCAGGTTTCTTGGGGGGTGGGTGGGTTTGACGTTGCCATCCTCTCAGTGACCTTGGGAAAGTCACACACTCTCAGCCTCAGTGTTGGTTTTTTTGTGTGGCTATGCTAGAATTTGAACCCTGGTCTCTAGAGTCGTAGTCCAGCACTCAAACCACTACACTGTGCTGGCTCTCGTAAGTGTTGTGTAAAACCAATAGCATGGGAAGAGCTCTTCCCAGCCCAAAGACTGCCTTTGAGACAGATGTGTGAACTTAATTATTTTCCTTATTCAACTACCCTTAGAGTAGTTCCCCCCAGGATCATTCCTTATAACTACTGGGGAGAAAGGCCTACTGCTAGATTCCTGAGACATCTCTGTGGATCTCTAGTTTGTGCCTGGCACTCTGGTGTCTATATTTCAGGAACGCCTGTGATTATTTCAGGATATTTTGGAACTGAATCCCTCAACTCCACCATTGGTATCTGCAGTCCAGAAATATCTCCTAGGACCACAGTTCCCTTGCCTTGGTTTCTAGAACCATCAGATTTTAGAATGGAAGGAACCTTGGAGGTCATCCAGTCCAGCCGCCCAACTTAATGCAGGAATCTTTCAACAACAGCATCCCTGACAGATAGATGACCATACATCTTCAGAAGCAGCCCTTTGTCTCTGGTACAGACTTCCCTAATCTTGTGACCCTTAGGTGCGGTGGACTACAATGCCCATAAGCCCTCCCATTGAACTCTGTGGATCTTCTTCTGGAAGAAGAGGACAATAACATTATAACATTGCAAGAAAGCGGAAATCTTGGCAGAGTATTTTACTCATGCAAATCCATAGACATTCATATATAAATAAATGTGTGGATAGGTATAGATACATAGATATACAGTTGCCCCTCCCAATTCACAGGGGATCTGTTCCGGACCCCCCCAAAATTGCAAATATTCAGTCCCAATTTAAACTAATGGTGGCGTGCCCATGGCATGCACACATGCACACAGCCATTTATAGCCTTTGTCCCTCCTCGTATACAGGGACAACTGTATACATATATTTATCCATAAATACAGATAGTTGAGAGTTAGAATTATATGAAAGGGAAAATATATCGGAAATCTTCAAGAAATGTCAAAATAAGGCTTAAAGGAAAACTAAGGCTGAAATATAGGCAATGTTCTTGATACTATTACCAGGTTGTAAATACAAATACTGTCACTATTTTGTTATTGTATACTGTCCAATCTGATTTTGTTTATTCTGACATAGCGAAATCTTAAGGCTAGATTTATAAGTAAAATTCAAACGACAGAAATAGAAATAGAAAAAGAATGTAGAAATGCTCACTGAAAGCATGTAAAATCAAATTATTGCTTTATTTTTCAGTCATTACACATGAACTATGTAAAACCAAAACATCTATGGAACGTCACTAGGCATGCATAGGATTCATTGTTAGAAGACAAAAAGCACAAACTTTTTCAGATGCAGGAAGTGTGTTAGTTGATACAATCGTTTTAGCCTGCCATCTCCTGGCCCTTGTGTAAAATACCACTAATGCCTTGACCAGCTGGTGGAGAATTTCCAACATTTTAGAATTTCTCTATTTACATTCAGAATGCGACACGTTTTCTCAAATGGGGTGCTTAATTGTTTTGATTCTGAACAGTGTCAAATACGCCCATCCCTCCCAATTCGTTCTGCCCCCCCATGAATCAGAAAAAATGCAAATACTCAAGGCCCATTGGTTATAATGGCTGCGCACATTTGGCTGTTTATACAGCTGGACAAGTTCCTGATCAGAAAACAACATTTCCAGTGGAGTATTAATCAGTGATCTGATATAGAATGTGATTGTTACTGTGATCTGAAAGCATTTTTCCTGAAAAGGCAGAAATTGAAGATGGAGATGGAGAGCTGCTTTGTAAACCAGACAGCCAGAATTCAAAGAAAATGGTGGTAGAAGATCTTGACCCCTTATGGCTTATTATGGCCTTTCCGGATTAAATCGCCCGGCCTCAAGACCATTGGGATCTTCCTTATGCATCTGTATAATTCCCTAGAGTTTGAACTAACAGGGGA